CCCTCAGGCACTGGCTCTACCATGATGCTAAAGGAAACTTTATCTAGATCTTTATCCATCTATAGAATTTGGCATTCAAAGGTTGAGATGGAATCCTGCTAGCTCAGAGAAGCTGAATAGCAAATAGCTTAACCTCTCCTTGCTCAGGTCTCCTGAAAAAAGGGTGGTCCTTCTGCTCAGCTCCTCCTTGCTACACTTAGTTCTTCCCTACAACTTCCTGTCAGCTAGTTGTTGACTCAACCTCCTGACCCCAGGTTAATTTTATTTAATCAGACAAATGTAGCATGTCTTGGCATCATTAACAAAAGCAGCAGAAACAAATGTAACACACCTTTATACAATTAATATTCCACAACAGGTGGTTTTATCTTCTCAACACCAAATGTACCCCACCCCCAAATTGGGAATTCTGAATCAATGTCTTTGACCTTTATAGCAGAATTATCAGAAGTTTAGGAACATGTGTGCATGGCTAGAGCTCTTACTGGCATTTGGCTAATTGTGTGATGTGTTTTCTTCTTCAGGTGGCCTTTGCTCCTGAGAACTTGGTGTTTTCTTTAACTCAGCACCACCTGGATGGATGGTCTGCAGGTGAAGCTGACCCATCTCCTGGGGTGTGCTTCTTTGAGAGGCCTGTACCTGTGAAGGGTGGCTGTGGGAGCCAACCTGACCTTTGTTTCAGCAATATTTATCTCCTGCACAGTTTTTAGAATTATGTTACTACCAGTAAATAAATGTGTGCAGAGCTACAGAGAGAAGTTATTGCTTCTAAAAGATGCTAACAGTTGACTTTGATGCTCTGTTACTTGAGTGCCTGTGCACACAAAAACACACACACACACTATCATGATGCATTTCATAGTATTTCATAGTATGATGCTATAGCCACCCTGTGCTAGTTTCCAGCCTTACCAAAGCCACAAAAGCAGAACATTTTCTGTGTGAAAGGTATGTGTATTCAAATGCATATGTATGTGTGGATGCATGTGCATTTGTGTATGAAAGCTAGAGGACAACTTTACTTTCCTGTTTCCAGCATCTCCCTGACACTGACTGATCTCCCACTTTGAACCATAGGTCTCCTTAAAATCCAGATTCCTAATTCCTCTTCGTTGGTGAAGAAGGTCAACATCCTCTTGCTGTGACTCCAGTGCGTTTCCCTGCACTTCCAGGATCCACAGCTGCAACATGCTTTTTTTTTTGTTTTTTTTTTTTTTTTTTTGTTTTGTTTTGTTTTAATCCCAGGCACAATGAACAATGAGGCCCTCTAAGCAAGACTTCATACCCAAGCTGGTTTGTGCTGTCCCCTCGCCTACAGTATGTCTTTACTACCTTGGATGCCTTAGTCCAGTTGGCCTGACTAATGTCCAGCTCTACCATTGACTTGGTGTGTGACACTGTGAGGGAACCTGAAGCCTCTTAGTCTCAGTTTGCCCATCTTTGATGGCAAAGAGTCAATCAGTAGAAGCCTGAAAAATAAAAAGGGGTGGGGGGAACTCCAGACAGTAATTCTCAGCCTTCAATTCAACCCTCTGAACCATGGTCGTTATTCCTTCCTACTCATAGTCAACATATTGTGAATTACCAGAGAGGTGGGTTGTGTTTATTGTCATTCCTCTAGACTGAGAGGACTTGAAGGTCAAGGTTCCACATCTCGGCCATGGCCGCATGCTTCTTACAAGCAGCTATGCCATGAATTTTATATAAGGAGTCACTTATTTCTCCCTCATGGTCAAACACACCTAATCCACAGGCCATTTGTTTCTCTGGGGTGTGGTGAAATACATGGGCTTGGGGGACAGAAGGATGTAGCCTCAAAGCAGAGCCCCATGACCTCAAGTTTAAATTTTTTATTTTCTAACCAGCAAAGAAAGAGTGGCAATACCATTGTAGAAATAACCCTATTTATTATTGCTCTGACATTTTTTTCTCATGTGTGTGTACATTTTGTGTATGTGTATGGTTGCATGTGTGTCAGTGTTTAGTACATATGTGCTGCTACATTTGTTGTCCTGTGGTTGATTCTGAGAATCATCCTCAGATATCTTCTACTGTATTCATCAAGCAAAGGTCTCTCAATCAAACCTAGAGTTCACTGATATGAGTAGTCTTGCCGGCAGTCTGAAACACTTTGTCTTCAACTTCCCAGGTGAATCACTATGGGTTTTGGGGATACAAACTGTGGTACTCACTATCAAGGGTTTCAGCCAATGAGCCATCTCCCCAGCATCCTGCTCTGAGAATTGGCACTGATGTGGAGTGCCATCATCAATATTATTAGGAGGTTATGATGTTCTTGGTTTGGACCCTCCCCAGAGTCTCCTGGCACTGCTCAGATAAATCATAGGGTGGTGGTTTAGTTCCTTTTTAAAAGTCTTGGGAATGGGGGTGGGAGAGTTGAGTGAGCATTTAAGAGTATGTATTGATCTTCCAGAAGACTAAAGTTTCGGTTCCTATGAGCCACATCAACAGCTCATATGCCTGTAATTCTAGATCCAGGGGAATCTAATTCCATTTCTGGCTTTCACAGGTACCTGAAGGCATGTGGCATACATGCAAACAGACTTATATACATAAATAAAAACAAAACTTTAAAAATCCTGGTAACTATGGTCAACTGTTCCCTTAGCCCTAATGTGACTCTCAAGAGTCCTAAGTACTTTCATTGTTATGAAATTATTCTTGCATTAAAAAAGGAAAAGATCTCCACCAACCCCACATCTGACAGAGGGCTGATCTACAAAATATATAAAGAACTCAAGAAACTAGACATCAAAATACTAAATAATCCAATAAAAAAAAATGGTATACAGATCTAAACAGAGAATTCTCAACAGAACAATCTCAAACAATGGAACTACACTTAAGGAAATGTCTAATATCCTTAGTCATCAGGGATGATATGACTATTGTGAATAATGTTGCTATGAACATAGCTGAACAAATGTCCTTGTGGTGTGAATGTGCTTCCTTTGGGTATATGCCCAAAAGTGGTATTGCAGGGTCTTGAGGTAGCTTGATCCTTAATTTTCTGAGAAATCACCATACTGATTTCTATAGCGGCTGTACAAGTTTGCACTCCAACCATCAATGGAGGTATGTTTCCTTTTCTCCACATTCTCTCCAATATAAGCTGTCATTAGTATTTTTGATCTTAGTCATTCTGATCAGTGCAAGATGAAATTTCAGAGTTGTTTTGATTTGCTTTTCCCTGATGTACTACTGTACCTAGTTCTTATCTAAGTTCTGGTGATCCAAACACAAGTCTTCATATGTATTTTACAAACACTTTATGTCCTCAGTCCCCAGTGCTTGTTAAAGAAAACAAAACAAAACAAACAAAAAAGAATAATATACATGAATTGTATTTTTTACTACACTAATACAAAGATGAATGTAATTCAGTTTCTATTCAGTTTTACATTAAAATTTACATTACATTTCTTTGGATTTTAAGGGAAGAAAAAGAAAAAATAAGTAGGAAACACGAATTTGAGTGGAGGAAGTGGGGAGGGGGTCTGGTAGGAATAAGAAGAGGGGTGTGGGAAGTAGATATGATCTAAATACATTGCATATGCATATGAAATTATGGAAGAATATATAATAAATTCTAATGCACGTCATTAAGTATATGTGCCAGACGCTGTGCCAATCTGTGGAGAAGCCCACCTGTGAGTCTCAGTTCTCACCAGTCTTCCTGGCATACTCCCTTATCCAGCTCTGTGTGAGGTGACAGCAACTCCTTCTCCCTGAACTTACTCTCTGGCTTCCTTCATCTCTTGGCAGTTCACCTCTGAAAGCAGGTGCTGTCAGCAAACATCAGCATCTACTTACATATGGTGACCTGCCACCCTCCTTGGACTCAGCAGGTATGTGCCTCTTTGTAGTGTCTACTTTATAGCTCGACACTGGAGACACTGATATGGCAGGTGAGAAACTATCATGTGAGAAGTCCTGCTTTGGCCAGAAGTGAGGAGCTCAGCCTGCTGTCCAAGCTCCCAACTCTCCACCCAACAGCCTTTCTTCCTCCCAGCTCTCCAAGAACAACAGGCCTCTGGCTTCCTGGTGTGGCTATTTGATTCCTGACCCACTCCTCTGTGCTGGTCTTTTCTCTATGGAGATTCGTGCCCAGGAATCGCTGGTGCTCCCTGGCCTCCAGACTACTCTCTCCTTGCATCTGAAAGATTCAATTCTCTTGCCTCGCCAGTGCAGAATTTTGTTTTTTCTTTCTTTTGTCCCCCTGGCCTAACTGGCTGTGACCTCATAGCAATCTCCCTGCCTCAGCGGTTCAGTACTGAGTTACAGCACACTCCATTCCTGGCTTGCATCTTCACTTAAAAAAAAAAAAAAAAAAAAAAAAAAAATATATATATATATATATATATATATATATATATATATATATATATATGTTGTAAAGGGAGAGAGTTGATTCGAAGAGACTGAGAGATAAGTGGGATCAGAATGTATGATGTGAAACACACACACACACACACACACACACACACACAAATCAATAAAGGTTAAAAGCAAAAAGTATTTGTCACTGAGCTTGCAAGATGATTCAGCAAGTAAAAAGTGCTTGCCACCGAGCCTACCTACCTAAATTCAATCCCTAGAACTCATGGGGTGGAAGGAGAGAACTGACTCCTGCAAGTAGTCCACACACACACACACACACACACACACACACGCACGCACGCACGCGCGCGCGCGCACACACAGGGAAGCACGCCCCCCCCACACACACAGTATAATATTTTTAAAATTAAAATGTTTGCAGTTACTCATTCCAAATTTTCTCACAGGCTCCACTGTTTTGAAGAAGCCCAAACTGATTGAAAGCAAACTGTTTTAGAGTACTCAGCTTTTAAAACCCTGTCAGCGCCACCTTCAGACTAACTCCGCCCAGACACGCCCATCTATGGGTCCCGCCCCTCCCGAGTCTGAGACATTTGCCTTCAACTTTACGTTATGCGCATGCTCGTGAGAACGCTTTGCTTCCTGAAGTCCCCAACAACTCTTAGCAAAGGGACTGTAGGGCCCATGTCGCGACCCTGTGGACTCCCAGAGCCTGTCAGGTAAAGCCCTCCAGCTCCAGATACTGGAGCCCGACCTAGTCGGACCGCGATCACTGCGCAGGCCTGAGTCTGACGCCCTATCTGACCATTCCGCAGTTCAGGCTCCTCCGGGCTTGCCTCCTGAAAGGCCATCTGGGGACTTTGCTCTGGTGACAGAGTCGGGGTTTCACTTAACAAAATTCACAAACAGGCAGGCATGTCCTCATGCCCCTGGGTCACAGCGCTTCCCTTTTGCCAAACTATATCACTCTTTAGTAACCTGTGTACCCACAGCAGAACCTCAGAACCCGACAATGGCCAGATAACCCAGCATCAGCCAGTCGCGGTTCAAGTTCCTGGGTTGCTACTAACACTCCTGATCTTGGTTCTTGCTCAAGACACTGCTCCCAGCCTAGGCTTACATGACCTTGTTGTTTATCTGCAGGTCTGTCCTGAGAATTAAAAACGGTGGGGCGAGCCCTGGTTAGAGCTGTTGCTCCTATTTTAATGGTGATAGTCTCGAGACAGTTTCTAGACTTTTGTTTCTCCTGCTGCCTCTTGGCAGCATAGGGACTCCTTAAAAACCTCCTTGGGCCGAGTTCTTCCCACTTGGCTAGTTGTCTTTTCTGAGCAGAGGCTTGCAAACTAACTATGTGCCCACTTTCGGTGACCCTTTCCAGGACATTTGATTGGTTTTTCAGCCAGCACCCTGGCACACAGAAAGGCCAAGCAAGGCGGTGAGAATGAGCAAATGCCTCCAACCAATGACTTATTAAGGATAAGCAAGCTAGTCATTAGCAGTACAGCTGAGTGTCCCTCCCCCCCCACCCTACCTCGTGTGGGGATTGGCCACTTTATCTTAATGACTACCCTCAAATAAGTCACAGATAAGAACTTTAATGACATCCAGGAGATGATGGCATATTTTTTTTTAAATGTGTATCCCAAGATGATCTCAAAGTCCTGGCAATCCTCCTCCGTCAACCTCCCATGAACTGGGATTAAGTTGTGAGCTACCACACCTAATTCCATCCATTTTGAGTTGAAATGAGCTCTGACTGGCCTAAACATCTGCTTTTGCACAGTCATGTTACACACTAATGAAAACCGATGTCCACTTTCTGTGGCCACCATGATAAAGTCATGTATGACTTAAGGAAAGTCAGTTTATCCTCTCTTAGGTCTGAAGGCCAATCCATAATCAAGGAGTCAACAGGAACACAGCCCTGGAAGCCTCTGGGGGGGCACTTGCTCTTCCAGCTTCTGGTCATCCGTGACTTGTAGCAACAGCACTCTGGTCCCCATGCCCTTTTCTGTTGCCTCTTCACTTCCTTCAGAGACACCCGTCATTGGATTGGGAGTTTTCCTGAAATCCAGGGTGATCTTATCTCACCAGCCTTAATTACATCTGCAAAGATCTCATTTCTGAGTAAAGTCCTGTTCCCCAGATTCTAAGTTGACATGAACAAGTACAATATCAAACACCCTGTGTGGGCCAGCAGCATAATATAATATGCTTGTCTGAGGGACCCAGGAAGAGCTAAGTGAGCACACTGCCATCTGTGGTGATGAGTCTAAATTTTTGCATAACTGTCAGTAATAGTTCTCAAAGCACAGTCCCTTGAGCTGCCATAGAGGCAGCTCCTGGTCCTCTTGCCCTTCTCAAATGCAGGTATTACATACATCCCTAACCTGGCTTACCCTTGAATTTTAAATTTAATTTGCCTTTCTAAGCGAACTGTAGACTTGGTGTTTCTGCTTCATTCATTCTTGCCAACAACATGCCGTTTAAGTACTGTGATTTCTGCCAGGCTATTGGAAGACTATAATGAGACTTAGAAATTAAATCCAAGATACACGCCCCCACTCCCACCACCCATCCCACCACACACACAAATAGCTCAGCAGGGCTAGGAGCTTTCTGCTACAGCTCTGCTTACTGGAGATCTTGCCCTGTTTTAGGAACAATCTGATAGATGATGCCAAGGCTCGCTTGAGAAGGTTTGATGTTGGGACCAGATATTCCCATTTGTCTCCTAATAAATACTCTGTCCTCCTGCCATTGCTGGCCAAAGGAGGAAAGCTGTACTTGCTGCTCACTGTCCGCTCAGACAAGGTAGGTGTCAAGAGGCTCTTGTGACATCTTGGGGCATTTAGAAACACACTTCTGTCACTTTGTCCTCATTTCAAGGGGTAGTGGATGCTATAGGATTTTGTTTGATGATTTTGAGATACATGTTTGCTCTCTAGCCAAATGGGCCTTGAACTCATGACTATCTGCCTGTCTCTGCCTCCTAAATGCTAACTTAAATTTTGGTATTTGATTTTTATGTGTGTGTGTGTGTGTGTGTGTGTGTGTTTTGATTATATGAGAAGCAATAAAGCCCATATATGACTAAAGTCTCTGGCCAACGGGACTCTGATTTTTTGTTGCAGACACCCTGGTTATGCCTGATGATTATAAAAGTTATTTTAATTTTTAAAGATTTATTTTCTCTGTGTATGGGTGTTTTGCCTGAATGAATGTATGTGTACCATGTTTGCTCAGTACCCATATGGGTCAGAAGAAGACACTGAATACCCTAAAACTAGAGTTCTAGGTGGTTGTGACCCACCATGTGAGTTCTGGGAACTGAACCTGTGTCCTTTGCAAGAACAAGTGCTCTTAACCTCTGAGACATCTCTCCAGCTCCTTGAGGTCATAATAATAATAATAATAATAATGTAGCCGGGCAGTGGTGGTACATGCCTTTAGTCCTAGCATTTGAGTTTGAGGCAAGCCTGGTCTACAGAGCAAATTCTAGAATAGATTCCAATGCTACACAAACAAAAAGGGTAAAGCTCACTCTGATTGCAAGCCCTACCTGCTTGTGAATGAGGAGTGCAGAGTGTTCCTCAACCAGCCTTGCAGCTGCTCCTGAGCCTTCTGCCAAGCTGGAGCTCTAATGTGGATTCATTCATAGCTCCTCCTTTACATTCTCTGTAGAGACAGGATCTCACCAAATTGCCTAGATTGGACTTTAATTTACTCTTGTAACTCCAGCAGCCTTTGAACTTGCCATCCACCTGCCTCAGCATCTGAAGCAGCTTGTACCACCGGGCCTGGTTCTGAAAGGTTCTTTTTATGTTTTCCTTCTCTTTTTTAAAAAACTATTTTTAAAAATGGGATTGAGCCAGGGTAGAAATAGAAGACAGGAGAGAGAGAGAGAGAGAGAGAGAGAGAGAGAGAGAGAGAGAGAGAGAGAGAGAGAGAGAATGAACATAAAAGAGGGAGCCATTATTGGTTTAAGAGAAAACTGAACCTAAAAAAAGGTCTAGAGACCTACAAGACTGCCTCCAACTAACAATTTGAGCAACCGTGGAAAGGCTACCATAAATACCCTTCCCAGATAGTGAGATCAACATCCATAACTAAACACTGAGTCGAACTAGAATCCAGATGTAGAGGGAGAGGACAAGACTAGGTTGCAGAAACACATAGAGACAGCTGACCCGAACAAGGAGGAGCTAACTGGCCCCAGACTGATAGCTGGGAATCCAGCATGGGACTGACTCAGACCCCCTGAACATGGGTCTCAGCTAGAAGGCCTGAGCAGTCTAAGGGACCTCAGACAGTGGAACCAGGATGTATCCCTGGTGCACAAAAGGACCTTGTGGACACATCCTCCATGGAGGGATACTGCCTTAACCTAGAGACAGGAGAGAAGCCCTAGTCCCTACTTCAAATGACCTGACAGATCTACATGACCCAACCTGGATGGCACTGCCCTACATGTGGAATTGGGGTGGGGGAATGGGAGGGGAGGGTGGTCAGGGTGCATGTGAGGGGGAAGAGAGGGTAAGAGGGAGGGAAGGGGAAGGAGTGAGGGAGGGAGGGAAAGGGAACTGGGATCGACATGTAAAATAAAAAAAATTGTTAAAAATGTATTATGGGGGAGGGGAATGCATGGCATGTATGCAAGTGTGGAGATCAGAGGACAATTTTGTGGTGTCTGCTCTCTCCTTTAACCTTTAAGAGGCTTCCATGGATCAGACTTAAGCCATCATGGTTGCATCACAGGTACCTTATGAGAAGAGCCATCTCACTGGCCCTGGAGCCAAGTTTGTAATGTCTTATAATCCTGGTTTCCAGTGTCTAGGAACTGAAAGCTGCCCTGAGAGCAGTGTGCAAAAGAGCAATACTCTCCCACTAGTGTCCGTGTCCCCTGACATTGACTGTTTCTTGTTGTTTTCTCTCTTTGCTCAGCCCAGCATAGGTAAGGTCTCCTTTCACAGACCTAGTAGGGGAGTCCCTTGTTATAGGTCTCAGAAGAAGAGAATTTTTGGTGTTAGTCCAACTGTTTCTGGGTCCCAGGCAGGAGATGGGAAGGGAGAAAAGGGTCTTGCATCACCAGGAAGGGATGTGAGACTTCAGAAGTGTGCAGGAAGTGATGGGGGGTGCACATCAATTGAGGTATGTACCCTCATATGGGTAGAAGTATGTTTTTCCATGGTGCTGTGGCAACTTGAGGTAGTCAACTTCACTGGAAAAGTAAGTGAGAGAGAGAGGGGGGGGATACAACCTACTCAGTCCATATTATGTTACTCATCTATGTTTTGAGTGCTGGCCATTTAGTGTTAGGTAACTAGTTGATGTGCACTTCTCTGGGGAAGATGGTTTCCCCTATTCTCAGTATTCCTTAGTTGTCTGCAGTTCTTTGTGTAGGGTTGAGGTCACATGGGCTTCCCCCCTCCTCTTTGGCATGTCTATTGGTGTCGTTCTTGTTCAGCTCATGTTTAGACTGTCATGTTGGTTAGAGTTTAGGAGTGTCTCCTAATACTGTCAGAAGCTACATTGTTTTTTGACACAGTCTCTTATTGGCCTGGAGCACACCAAAAAGGCTAGAATAACATATATGAATGTAATAACAATTGATGCCAGAAAAAGGGTCATGGATTTGAAAGAGAACAAGGAGGGATATATTTGAGGTGTTTGGAGAGAGGGAAGGGAAGGAAGAAATAGTGTGATTCTATTATAATCCCAAAAATAAAAAATAAAAAAACAAAACAAAACAGAAGAACCCAGTGTGGATGGCCCCTAAGTAATGGTTCCTAACATTGACCTTTGGTTTCCACATGCACATGTAGTCATGTGAACCCACACAAACACACACACATACACACATGTACATCATACAGACAGCTTACACTATTTACAGAGAGAAAAGATTGTGAATTCTCATACTTAAGTAGAATCCTTTCTGGTCCCAAAAGTCTAAGAACAATTTTTGTTTTTGTTTTAAATGTACCTGCTTACTTCAAAACAGAACATTATCTAACACTAGAGTTCTCAGAAATCCAAAAGGTCCTTGTTCCCTATTAATTGGAGTCGAGGTAGAAGGCCACTTGAATTGAATTGGCATGCTCTGGGGTCTCTTTGAAGGGCTTTCAAAACATATTTTAAATCAAGTCAGTATTTCTATTAAGCCCATTGAGTCCTTGTGGGTGCCCCCATCACCAGCTACCATAGAGTTGAATGTGAACAATCACATTTTAGAGGTGATATAACAGAAGGCATATTTTTAAGTCTTTTATAAGACAGGCTGTGGTAGACAGAAAATGGTCTAGCCTACTTCTCCCTACTCTTTCATCTGTCACTGAAGAGAAGATGTATGAGGCCATAACTGCCAAGCCAGATCCTGTGGAACTATTTATTTATAACAGGGAGGAACTACAAATGTTTTATGTTTTCAAAAGACTTACCTAGGGCTAGGAATATAGCACAATTGAAGAACACTGCCCTAGTATGCACAATGCCCTGGCACAACCCTTAGCACCACAAAATAAAATAAATGAACGAATGAAAACAAAAAGCTTACTAAAGCAAAGTCTTTGTCTATAGCAGCTAAATCAAGTTAGTAACAATCTTAGTCCTCTCAAACTACTGTAACACAATACCTTATACTGGATGTCTAATGAACATCAAACATTTCTCATGGCTGTGGAGGCTGTGAAGTTCAGTATCTAGGTATCTACAGATCAATCAATTGGTCCTGTCTCCTCTTTCTTACTCATAGATGATGGTTTTCTCTGTGTGCTCACAGGGTGAGCAGAGTAGTCAGTAGGCTCTAACCTTGTTGATAAGGGCCATGCTCCATTATAATTTTCCAAGAGCCTCACCTCCAAATGGCATTACCTTGTGACTGAAGATTTCAACAGTACCAACCAGGAAATAGATATTCTGACCAGAACAGGCTCCTAGCTTTCCTTCCACAGCTGTTAGCCCATGTGCTCAAAATGCCAACAGGACATGTTGGTTGAACTCTTGAATATCAAGAACCAACCTTAGGGGTTCTCATTATACCCTCCTGCCTGGGAGCAAGACACAACTGTGCACACTGCAGCCTCAGCTCATGCACTCGCCCTGTGGTTCTAGCAAGTGCACACTGCTGTGATCTTTGTACACAGTTGGCGAGAAACCGGCCTAAGAGTCCTGCTGAGTCAGGCTCCCGCAGTAGATGCGAGGGGAGGACACTGGTCATGGGTAGGTGAGGGTGTAAGGTGAACTGGGGTCAGCTGGCTGAGAGTTGGGCACTGCAGAAAAGACAATAGTGAGGGCTGCATCCTTCAGAGATGAGAAAGGAGGAAATTACTGGGATGTCACACAGGGTGACACATTGTCCTAAAAATCAGAAGGGACTGGAGTGAGAGATGTGGGTGGAGAAATAAGGAAAGAGAGGGCCCCATTCTTCATGTGAATGAGCAAAACTAAACGGAGATGCTGAGATGCATGGAACCAGTGGTGATGGCTGCTTAACAATACTATGTTTTAGCAAATTCTTATTTATTTAAACATATGGGAGTGCGAGTGTGGGCATTATGCATCACAACCTCTGTAGAGGAGGTAGAGGACAGTTTTTGAGTCTCTTCTCTCCTACCTTTTTATTGAGACAGGGTCCCTTTCCCTTATCTCCTCATTCTCCAGCTATAAGATCCAATTATTGCTCTTTGAGCTTCTGCCAGGTTGTCTCAAATTCTGCAGAATGTTTGCTAACTAGTAGAGGAAACTTCAAGCTTCTCGACTGCTCTGTCTCTGCCTCCCATCTAGCTGTAAAAATTCTGCCATTACAGATACAGGCCATCGAATACAGCTTTGTATGTGGATTCTAGGGATCAAATTCAGATTGTCAGACTTGCATCACAAACACTTCTACTGGCTGAGTCACCCCCGTTGCCCTAGAGACTTTTAATAAATAGATGGTGTGCTGGTTAAGAGCAAGGCCTCTAGAATTAAACTCCAATGTATAGCTCACTGTGTGAACTTTGTCAGGTAACTTACCCTTTGTGAAAATAGAATAATAGTAATCTAATGTAGTTTGTGTGTCCATTAATATAGAGATCATTTGTGACCTATACAAACAAATGGAGTATAGTTATTAGGTATGGTTATACATCATTATGGGTTTGTTAAATGTTCCTGAATGGTTTAAATTGGTTAATCTTATATTCTATTAATTTTACTTCATTAAGAATACTTTAAGGTATAATAGGTTGTAGGGTTAGGAATGTAGAACAGTTGGTAGAGTGCTTGCCTAGCATGTACCAAGTCCTGGGTCTTATCCCCAGCACTGCCTAAAACAGGTTATGGTGGTCTAACCCTACACTGGAGAGAAGGAAGCAGGAAGATCAACAGTTCAAGGTCATCCTTGACTATATAGCAATTTGAGGCCAGGCTGGGCTATATGAGACTCTATCCCAGTCTTTTCCCACAAAACATAATAGCTTATAGAAAAATTCCTGTGAAACATATGCCCTGAATCTGATAAGCACTCATAAAGAACTTAGCAAAATCATCTATAAGTAATACTATCTTTATAGTATCCTTTCTTTTAACTTTTACAAACCCCCATTCGCATCTATGAGTTTATGGGTTTTTTTTTAGAGGCATACAGAGAAAAATCAGAATGAGGGAAATTCTCAAAGTTACTGATGTGAGGTATTTGTGTCGTGTCCGTGTGTGTGTCCCTGTCTGTGTGTGTCCGTGTGTGTATGTGTGTGTGTGTGTGTGTTTAAATGAAAATTGAAAGAAATGAAAAATAAAACAAATCATACCATTTGTCAGAAAATAAATGCAACTGAACTTAATCATATATTGTTTTCTTTTACTTGTAGTTCTTACATGAAATCATGTGTGTGTATATATATGATATACAAGGAAAAGGAAAACTGCTTAGGGAGACTAAGAGGAGTAATGGGTGGGATGAGAAAAGGAATCAGGGAGTATAGGGGAATTATTTTCTACATATAATATAGACAATAAATATTTGAATGAATAAAACCATCTAAAATGTATCCATTATTTGAAATTAGCAATATTTTTATTTTTTATTAATTTATTTTTTATTTAAAAACAATCTTGTTTCATTTTACATAACAATCCCAGTTCCCCCTCCTTCCACTCCTCCCAGTCTCCCTACTGTTCCCCCATGCACACCTTAGAGAGGGTAAGGCCTCCCATAGGGAATCAACAAAGTCTGGCACATCAGGTTGAGACAGAACAAAGGCCTTCTCCCCATATCTAGGCTGAGCAAGGTATCCTTTCATAGGGAATGGGCTCCAAAAAGCCCGTTCATGCACCAGGGATAGATCCTGGTCCCACAGCCAGTGGCCGCACAAACTACCAAAGCCACACAGCTGTCACCCACACTTAGAGGGCCCAGTTCAGTCCTATACAGTTTCCCCAGCATCAGTCCAGAGTCACAGAGCTCCCACTTTCTTGAGTCAGCTGTCTCTGTGAGTTTCTTCATCATGATCTTGACTCCTTTGATCATATTATCGGTCCGCCCTCTCTTGATATTAGCAATATTTTTATGAACATGTGAGTTTGCCAGACAAAATGAGTCTGATTCCTTAGATATGTTTTCTAGGAAGTATTATTTTTCTTCAAGTATGCACATTACTTATAAATTATTATTTCCATCAGGGATACTTTTATGTTCTATATGTACTAAGAGTACTGTGTTAAAAACAATATCTAATGGATATGTGGTTAAATATTAAGAGTAGCACATGTATTACATGAATAAGTAACAAAGTTAATTTAATGTTAATATTGAGTAAAATATTTTCATTGGTTTATGAATTAGGAAAAGATTATATAAAATATCTATTTCAGATGGGTAACAATACAGAGAATTTTCCAAACAAACATCTCCCAACCTTTGCAATAAAGTTATTAGTGTATGGTATAGTTGTGTGTGGGGGGTATATGTGAAGTGTGTATGCGCATGTGCATGCATGTGCGTGTGTGCGTGCTTGAGTTCATGTATATGAATCCTGGCATTCATGTGAGGGTCAGAATATAATTTTCAAGCACCATTTCTCATCCTCCACCATATGGGTTTGGGATTCAAACTCAGGTTGTGCCCTTATCTGCTGACCCCATCTCAGGAGCCCTGGTTGTGTTTTGTTGTTGGTTTTTTGTTTGTTTTTTGTCGTTGTTTTGTTTTTAGGATTCAAGGAAAAATGTACCTTGTACAATGTAGATGTTGAGTTAATATTTGTTGACTAAATAGTTTTCAAATTGAAATCTTACTTTGTAACTCTGTTCTTTCAAACCCCCAGCTGAGAAGGGCACCTGGAGAAGTCTGCTTCCCTGGAGGAAAGAGAGACCCGGCGGACATGGATGACACGGCTACTGCTCTCCGTGAAGCCCAGGAGGAAGTGGGGCTGTATCCCCACCAAGTGGAGGTGGTCTCTCACCTGGTGCCATATCTGCTTGAAGTAAGGACAGTCATGGGACCGCCTGAGCTCCTAGGGAGCTCTACATTGGTTCAAACATAATTCCCAAGAACATTATGCACTGAGACAGGATAACTGGGTCCTTGTGTAGACTTGGCCCTCCATGAGCTCTGTGGCCCTAAATATAAGCCCCTCTCACTCCATCCACAAAGAAAGAGGGAGCTACCTCAATGATTTTCAAACTGGGTGCCATGGGACACCAAGTGTACTCAGGATTTCTCACTAATGTTCAGCTCCTGAGAGCTTTTCTCCAGCATACATTTATTTTGACAATTCAGTTGAAAAGTAATATACTATTGTGCAATATACTAGGTGGTATCTATCGGGGTTTAATAAGGATCAGGATAAAAAATTAGGCCGAACAGATGTTTATTCAGGGAGAAATAACTCACAACATAGACAGGTGAACACCAACAGGTTCTTGCTTCCAAGAATTCCTCTGGATGTCTTCCTGTCCCCCAGACGGCTGGCAAGAGAGCTCTCTCCCGGGCCTCCTCGGACCTAGTTCCCCAGGTCACTTCCGCCCTTGGCTCCACCCCCCAATGGCTGCGGTCAGTGCCACAGAAGGAGACAAAGTGAATATCCCATTACAGGTATCACTTTGGAGGGACCCAATATTTTCTATTTAATGTCACTTGGTTTAGTGTACACCTTGGGATACAGAGCTCTCTTGTCAAAAAAAGAGGGAGCTTTTAATCCTTGGCCTCATCTTAACACCACACTGCATCTGATTGTCAGCTCATTGTAGTCCTTGGGTCTGTGATTATTTCTCACACTTCATGTTATTACAACTCTGGCAGTTCAGTTCAGGTACCTCCTGGTTAAGGACTTTATAAAAATGCAATTTTTATTTATGTGTATGTGGGTGGTGGTAAATGTGTCTGCAGGATCATTCAGAGGCCAAAAAGAAGGTGTCAAATTCCCTAGAGCAGGAGCCACCTCATATGGAGGCTGAGAACTTGAACTCTGGGCCACTGCAAGGGCAGCATGTGCTCTTGACTACTGAAAAACTCTCCATACCCAGGACTCCTCATGGTTAGACTAGGGTCACAATTTGGGAGAACGAGATCATCTGATAAGATGACTAAAAACTTCCAGTGTTTGCCACTGCATTCTGCCAAGTCAGGACTTCCTTCTCCCATAAACCAAAAAGCATAGGAAAACCTGGAGCTGGGATAGTGGGGTCCCATTGGCTATTGCACTGTAGCAGAGTCATTGTTGTGCAAATGGACTTTAGGAGTCATGTGTTGATTTTTATTGGTATGCCAGCATTATCTCATCAGTATAAATGTACTATAACCTTTAAATTCATGTCCAGAATGATGACAATTAGAAGCCATCTGTTCTCAAGGTGTCTGCCATGGTTGATGCCTGACACAGCTGTGATATGTTGGTCACAACTAGGAAACAGTGTTAGAACATTATTATGAACTAAACCCATGCTTTCTTTACTACTTTTCCTGTTTCTTGACTTCTACACTTGACCCCATCCTACACACCAGATTGTATACAGTTGTCCAATCTCTTAGTCCTCGTGACAGTTTCTCCTACAGTACTCATCATGACTATGGCAATTTCAAGGTTTAACATTCATGCATTTTGTTCAGTGTCCTTGAATTTGAGTTTCACTGATATTTTTCTCATGATTAAGCTGGTGTCATAGTTTGGGTGAGGAAGACCACAGAGTTGGGTGTCCTTTCCACATAACCACAGAACTAGGTATAAATATTTTAATATTCTATGCATTGGGCTTTCAAGTGAAAGTTATATTGAAACAATACTGCCACCAGTGCCTAACAGTTGGAAAGGGGGTTAAACTGTCTTCTAATGGGGTGATTTTCAATTAATTTCTGCAAATCCCCCAACATATTTTAGAAAATTTAGAACTCTATTGGCTGACTGAACTAGTTTGAAGTTTCTCAAACCAGAGTAGCTTCATCTTCACAATCCCTGGGAGCTACTGAATTGTATGTGAGTGGTTGGAATAATGGAGTTCACAGATGCCTCAGGCAGCTTTCTGTTACTCTAACAAACACATGAACCAATCAACTTATAGGGTATAATGGTTAATTTTAAATGTCAAATTGCCACAACTTAGAATCACCGAGTAGAGTGTCTCAACTAAATTATTTGTGAGTGTGTGAGTGTGAGTGTGAGTGAGTGTGTGTGTGTGTGTGTGTGTGTGTGTGTGTGTGTGTGTGTGTGCTTAGGGGTAGGGACATATCTTAGTAGTTAATGGATGCAGGAGAGCTCTGCCCACTGTGGGCAGTAACTTGTCCCCTAAGCAGGTTGTCTTGGGCTGCTTAAGAAAACTACCTAAGCATAAACCAGCCTGTGAGCCAACAAACAGCATCATTTGTGGTTCCTGGCTTTACCTCTTTGGCTGTGAAGTTCATTCCTTGCTCAGAAGTAATGCTGAGCCCCTCCTTTGAGTTCCTGCCTTGACTTCCCTCAATGATGGACTGTGACTTAGAATTATGAAACAAATAACCTTCTCTCCCCCAAAGTGACTTTTGGTTACTATATCATCACAGCAATAGGAATGAAACTAGAACATAGAAGGAAGATTTGATTCAGCTCATAGTTCTGGAGGGTTGAACCCATGATTAGTTGGACCCCATTGTTTTGGGAACTGTAGTAAGGTACCTCATTCCAGCATACCCTGTTGGGGTTCTCTTGAGACCTCTTCATCCCTCCCTCCCACTGTGTGTTTCCAGTGACTGGAGATGTCTAAAGTGGGACATTCTGCACAGAAGCTCAGAAGTGTTGGGCTGTCTTCCTGAAAAGCTGTCCTCCACCAACATCTGGGGCTGAACCTGAAAACCTAGCTTCTTTTCTCTAGCTAGAGTGTCCTCCACAACACCCTGCCTGCTTTCTTCACCAAACTGTTGCAGTCCCTCCTTGGCCCCTCATCAGTATCTCCTGGTAGCACTTTTTTTTGTTTTGTTTTGTTTTGTTTCAAGACAGGGTTTCTCTGTATTGGTGTCGAGCCTGTCCTGTCACTCACTCTGTGGATCAGGCTGGCCTTGAACTCACAGAGATCTGCCTGCCTCTGCCTCCTAAGTGCTGGGATTAAAGGCATGCACCATCAACACCTGGCCTGGTAGCACTTTCTTAAAAACTGCTTGCTCCTCAGTCCTCAACTCACTATATGCTCTGGGAAACCTATAACCTCCAAGAATGAACCCTTATGCAGGACCCAGCAGGGGGGCTCTTGGTGACCTATGACCTCATATGTATTACCCTAAGGCTATTTAAGATCTATATTTTCCTCATCTCCTCTCTAGACAAAGGTTGTTATTCATCATGGATGCAATTAATAGTATGGCCTGTTTTCATTCTGAAACCTTCTTTGGCTGCCTCCCTCCAAGAGAGGTCCCCACAAGCCTGATTAACCTTCTCTAGACTCCCCTTTCACAATGTACCTCCCTCTGGTTTCCCCAGAGTCTTTCTTATGACCCAGGAACTTCAAACTGGACATTATGTCTATGTGCAGTTCCAGCCTCTCTTGCAGGCTTTCTAGTAGAAGTAAAGACACACCATCAGCAGAAACTCTTGAGTTATTTTGCAAGAATGTGTGCTCATAAGTAAAACTACCTCTTCACAAAACAAATAAGTATGTTACATAAATATAGTTTATAAGCAATTATATTACTTACAGTTTTGAATATGTATTTCCCTAAATATAAGTATGCCACAAGTAATGTGTCACTTTCCTGTTGATAAGACATCATACCTCTGTCCTTACCAAGATAAAAAGATATGTGGCATCATTCCAGATGCTAACAGTGGTGGAACATCTCTGTTACATGGGGGGACATGAATTTGTGTCAGGAGCACCCCCTGCCCCATCCCACCTTATACCATATATCATAGCCTTGGTCCTTCCTCTTCTTAAAGGGTTCTGAGTTTAATCTTTGAAACAGTCTATATCTGTACTTTTTAATGAGTAGATTTTGGTTTCTACTTTCAGAATGATGCACTGGTAACTCCAGTAGTGGGTTTTCTAGACCACAACTTCCAGGCCCAGCCTAATGCTGATGAAGTTAAAGATGTGTTCCTCATGCCTTTGGACTATTTCTTGCAACCCCAAGTCTACTACCAGAACCACTTCACACACTCTAACTACCATTTGGTTATACACTGCTTTGAGTATACAGACCCTGAAACTGGTGTGAAGTATGTAATCAAGGGAATGACTTCAAAACTGGCTGTGCTTGTTGCCTTAATTATCTTGGAAAAAAGTCCCTCCTTTGACATTGAGTTTGATCTCAATGACCTAATACCATCTTGTGAAAAGACCTTTCTTCGGAAATTTCCTCCAAGCAAGTTGTGAAGACATCAACACCCTAAAGAACATCCATGAGGTCTGGTGTGAGCAACAATGTCAGCAAGTGGAACCTGACAGGTGTGAATATTTTTCTTGCAAGGTGAATGCAAGGCCTTGCCTGGTTTCCTGTTGCCCTTTCTTCATCTAGAACATTAAATGTCTTTCAAAACCGAAAAAATGCTTTGGCAGGGCAGTATAATTTTACCCATGATACCAATATTTTTAGTTGGCATATAGTAGGCACTTAATAAATGTTTGTTGAGTATATGACTGTGCATTGTTTGTATTATTTCAAAGTATCTGAAATATTTTTAATCCATCATTTCTCTTGACAGAAACTCCTGGCTAACCATTCAAAGTTACCTGATTGGGACTAGGGAGATAACTCCACCAATAGAGTTCCTGTCTTGCAAGCATAAGGGTATGAGTTTGATATCCCCATCATCCACGTAAAATGACTCAGGTGTGGTGGTGTACATTTGTAATCCCAGCACTGGGACACAGGACCAGGCAACTCTGAGGCTTACTGTCCAGGCAGCCTAACCTTGGCAAGCTCCAAGTCAATGAGATTTTTAAAAAAAAATGTGCCTGAGGAATGACACTTAAAATGGTCCTCTGACCTCCACACACATGTTCACCACACATGTGTATACTCATGCATGCGTGCACACACACACACACACCTTTACTTTTCTTGATTCTGTGACAGAGTTTAAACTGGACCAGCCGACTCCCCAGGATCTTTTGCCATTAAATGGGCTCCTGGGATTTAGTTCTGGGCAATGTGATGTAGTAGAAAGATGACATGCTAATCTTGTTCAATTTTAGAGAGAAGGCAGTTCCCTTGGAGCCCCACTTTCTGTCTTCTGTGAGCTGCACCATGGATAGATCTACAAACCAGCAATGACCAGGTAGATACTAGGAGGCCCAGCTCTCTCCATGCACAACATGGACAACTGTACCCCCACCGCATGGAAGGCACCCTGCTATCTACCTGACCTTATTTGGAGACTGTCTCTAGGCCCAGATGCCTGACTTACCTCTAGTATGACCCTATGTGCAGTTCCCTGCAGAAGCTTTCCTCCTACTGCCCATATGGTAATTAGACGTGTGCTAGGATAGTGCCATCTTTCCACAGATGATATCTATGACTTGTGCTAGGAACTTAATGATAGGAGCATGCTATTTAATACAAGTTAGGTGATTCCCCAGCTACCATTCCCAATTCTATAGATTCCCTATACTCTGGAATAACTTTGAACAGATTTACTGGAGCTGTCTCCTGGAGAGCTATCTCCGTTGTGCTACAGGCCATACAAAGCTCTGTCATTGTTTCTGCTCCTTGTTCTCATGGACTTGTGGCCAGTAGGCCATAAGGAAAAGTCTACCATACAGGTAGATGAAGAAATTCCCTAAGGGGATGGCAGAATGCAAAGAATGGTCAGTGCCTAGCTCTCTGAGTGACTCTGTGAAGCAAAGCAACCCTTCAAATTGAGCAGCTGACAGAGGTCAGTGATGGAAGACAGTAATAAAAATTCTGTCATCTTTCTGCATTGTAATTTTGGGCTCTTTCATTGCAGTATTGCTGCAACCCTAAATAATATACTATAATACTTGAATATGACAAGACAAGTATTCGCCCAAGCTCAAGGAATTGCAAGCAAAATTGACACCCCAGCTCTGACTTGATGTGAAAATTCTGTGATGTGCACAGAATGTCACAGGCACAGGAGGGGCCAGGTAGCAGACACACAAAGCAGCTTAAACAGATGAGCAGGAGAAGCCTCTGTGCCTCCAAATAAAACCAGCGGTCTCCCATTATGCTGATGGCAAATAAAACACCAATTTCAAACACAAATCCTAAATCAGAAAGATAAGCATTTAAAACTACATACCTTGAGATCTACCACCTCCTCCAAGGCCATCACCATAGACCATGCTTCAGTGCCAGCAGGGATTTCTTTGTTTAATTAGGATATTAAGTGTCAAGGTCAGAGAGGTTGGTAAGAGAAGCCCTACAGCCACAACTCTAGGATGCTAATCTCACGTCCTATTGAGTAATAGTATTAAACTTTTATAACTACAGCTGAAAATCTGATGCACACACTGAACAACGTCAACCTGCCAGGGAAGCGTCCATTGCTGCTGAGGTTCCCTCCCCCCACAACATTGGCAGAGGAAAATACTCAGTTAATGATCATAAACGTTCAAATGGTGCAAATCTGGATCCAACCAGGAAAGCAGATGTTAGGTGAGCATCCCCATTACCATTCTGTAACTAGTCCTGCATGAGCAGGCCTGAGCCATTTCCGAACAATTACAAAGGCATTTGCAAATGTGTATTTACAATCTGACAGTGGTGTGATGGCTGGGTAGATGCCTGACCTCTCTGGCGCTGTAGAAAAGCCTCCCTTCACACTTGTCTGTTGACGTGAACTTCACCAGCCTTGCCTGCTTTCTGAAAGGAGTTGGAGCAGCTGAAACTCTGCAGCCTGAAGACACCTGAGTTAGAGTGCTGCTTATTTATTGATAGCTGAATTATGGTCCCTGTCTTTTATTAATTACACCTATGTTCAGGGTTCTAATTAAATATCCAATCTAGATCAAATCAAAAGAAGTTGTTGGGGGCTGGAGAAGGAGTTTAGTGGGCAAAGTTCTTGTTGGGCAAGCCCGAGGAGGACCTAAGTTCTATACTGAAAGCCCAATGCTTTTGAAAAAGACAGGAATGGGGGCATTTGTTTGCACTCCCAGGGTTAGGGAGGTGATAGTAGGCAGATCCTCCTGAGGCTCATGGGCAGCCAGCATGAAATGAGAAGATTCCAGGCCAGTGAAGGACCTTATCTCCAAATATAAGGTGGAGAGCTGGAGAGTAGGCTCAGTTGGTAAAGTGTTTGCTGCCCAAGGGTAAGGACCCAAGTTTAGGTCTCCAGAACCCATGTAAATCCTGGATGTGACAGTACAAGTCTATAACCCAGTGCTGCAGGTGGAAACATGTAGATGCCAGGGCCTTACTTGCCAGTCAGGTTGAAATGACGACCTGCAGATTCAAGGAGAGACCACCAAAAATAAAACAGGTGTGACTGAGAAAGACATGCCAAGGTCACTTCCTGGCTGTCTGCATGCCCCAAAAGCACACCATCACACCATGCCTGTATACACACAAAGATGGATAGCAGTAACCTAAGGAATGATGCCCAAGGCTTTCCTCTGGCCTCCACATACATGTACCTATGAACACACACACACACACACACACACACACACAGAGAGAGAGAGAGAGAGAGAGAGAGAGTCTACAGTACGACTAACCAGATTAGTCTCAATTATAAAAGCAGCCATGAGCACACACTGTGAAGACCTCAAAACCAGAAGGACCTGGGTCTCCTTCATTTTTCATCCAGTCGTGATTGCAATAAGAAACATCTGTTAGAATTGATGCAGATACAGAAGAGTAACCTGTTTGCCAAGTTATAGAATGGGCCAATGTGCCGATCATCAGATGAATGGACAAAAAAGATGTGGTATACACATAAAAGAGAGTACTTTTTAGCCATATAGAAAACTGAGATAATGCTGTTTGTGAGGGTGAAATAGGCAATCATAATGTTAAGAGAACTAAGAGTTAAAAAAGGAACATCACATTTTCTGTCTTGTGATTCTCATGGGAGTGGGGGACATGGATTACATAAAAATAGAAGAGGGGGTATGTCCTGGATAGTTTCATGTCAGCTTGATACAGCTAACATCATCTGGGACGAGGGAACCTCAACTGAGAAAATGACTCCATAAAATTGGACTACAGACAGGCAAGCCTTTAGGGCATGTTCTTATTTAATGATTGATGGGAGAGGGCCCAGCTTATTGTGGGTAAGGACAATCCTGGGCTGGTGGTCCTGAGTTCTATATAAGAGCAGACTTCACAAGTCAGTAAGCAGCTCCCCTCCATGACCTCTGCATCAGCTTATGCCTCCAGGTTTCTGCCCTGTTTCAGTTCCTGCCATGACTTCCTTTGATGCTGAACAGTGATAAGAAAATGTCAACACAATAAGCCCTTTCCTCCCCAAGCTGCTCTTGGTCATGGTGCCTCCTCATATGAACAGTGACCCTAACTAAAACAGGCAAATGTTTGGGAAGAGAAAGACTAGAAGGCGAGGAAGACAACTGGGTAATGCAGGTGAACTGGTCAAAGAAAGTCATGGTATGCATAAACAAAAATTGCATTATTAAACTTGTTACTTCATGCAATAAATATGCATTCTATTCTTAAAAACAATTCAGTCCGCAATTCCTAGAAAGCACTGTTTGGCCCAGCAGGGTCCCATGCCAGGATTCTAGTACTCTGTAATATACAGGGTTCAGTGTGGACTGCTTAGATAACTCAAAAAATCTCCTGTCTCCACTCTGATTTTATACGTGGTTCTGCCAAGGAGACAGGCTCAACTCTGTATTTCTATAGCCCACAGCACTGGTAAAGAACAGAGTAAGAGCTCAAGTCTGATATCAAGATGCTTAGGCACGAGTACCACCTCCATCACCACCAACCCATGACTCAAACCTGTTCTCCATTCTCTGCTGGCTTCCCCCACAACACAGAAGGATGAACATTCCACTCATGGATATTGTCCTGGTTGACTTCTCTGTTGCTATGAAAAACAAAAAACACTGATTTCAAGATGAAAAGATTTATGTCATCTTATTTCTTCAGTTAACACTACATTACTGAGGAAGTTAGGGCAGGGAGTTAATGGAGAAAGCTAGAAGCAGGAACAGGAGCAGAGACCATGAAGACTGGTGCTAACTAGATTTGTCTCCATGGCTTGTGCAGTCTGATTTCTAATACAACCCAGGACCACCTGTGTGGGGTGGTACTGCTCAGGGTATGCTGTACTCTCCCATTTCAATCATAAATCAAAAATGTTCTCTGCAGACTTGCCTGCTGATGGAGTCATTTCATCAACTGAGGTTCCTTCCCATATGTCTCTAGCTTGTGTCAAGGTGACAAAATAAATGAATAAATACACTAACCAGTGCAGATATCAAGGTATTAAATCAATCAATATACATGAGACTCTGAAGTTAGTAAGTACTTACTTTGTTGTTAGCTATTAAGTATGTGTGTTGTTTTATAGTGATAGGGTTGAATCCAAGTTCACATGCTTGCTAGACAACCATAGAAACATTAAACTACATCTCCAGACCTGCCACCATTTTACCCAGGATGGCTTTGAAGTTATCATATAGCCCAATTAGGTCTTGAACTTGCCAAT